TCTTATCTTATCTTATCTTATCTTATCTAAATGTTTTGGGGTATCCACAACTAGCTCGACTTTTTTTTTCTCAAATCCCCCGCCAAAAATCTTGAAAAAGAAAATGGGGATAAACCTCCCGATAAGGCGTTTTTCATGACAAAACGGGGGTTGACTGGCTCAATAATTAATGAAGGTGTGCGTCGCAACCTTCTTTTGTTTGTGTTGTGTGTAATCTATAAAGACTTTAATGTCCTTTGTCCAACAACTGGCGTCTTGGCAAAGCGGGAGCGACAATCAGCCAGATGGCTGCCAAAGCATTGTTTGGGTGTCGTTAGGAAGCAGCAGATTTCCTACTTAAAGTTGATCTTTCATGCATTTCGCCCCACTCGTGATGTAAAGCTCGGTAAAGCTATCACTTTTTTTTTTTTTTTGATATAGCGACTGCTCTTTATTTTTTTTTCATAACCATAAATATCCTTCACTTTCATTTTCACCAGTCGCTTTTGTTTTTTTTTTGTTTTTTAAGTTGCCCAGACAGTAGCTTGGGGTGTGTGTCAACTTAACCGCAGAGGCGCAAGGCGGTAGTGGTTTTGTTTATGGATTGTTTCTCCTGGCTCCTTGCGACCAGCGATTTCTCTTTGTACTTTCTCAGTGTGCTTTTCTGGAAAGAAATATTTTTGTTATGGCACTTTGTCTGAGCCTGCAACTCCGGAATCCAAAGCCATGATTCGGTTCGGTCCGGAACCTGACAGGCAGGCTTGTGCAAAAAGAATTAAAAAAAAAAAAAAACGGTAACATTTAAATCCTTTTATCTCGTGTGCGAGAATCAAACTGACGTTTTTTTGGGGGTTTTTTTGGTCCAGGTGCGTGCGACATGACACGGCCCAGCTTGTGTTTGGGATGAGTGGCGCAAGTCAACAGTGATTTATGAACACCCGAGGGGGGAAGCCGCACCTTCCTAAAAGCTACTGTAAACACACTGTAATGCCGGCTCAGGAATCTGTTTGATTTTTTTTTTTTTTTTTACCTTTCACTCCAGATTTCCCCGCATGGGAAACCTCCCCCCAGGCTGAAAGACACATTATATGATCGAGAAAAGAGAATCTGAAACCGCATCTCTTGCGACTCTGCCGAGATGGCTTCAAGTCGTGGCGGTCGAGCGGGAGGGATTGTGTTCTCCCGTAACCCGAAACCCGAGCTCATCAAAGAAATTCCAATAAGCAGTGAAGACATTTCCCAGCTAGCGTCCTGTGGGGTTCCTGTTGACGAGGGGTGGGGTCGCCGCGTGTCAAACTGCAATCTGGTGCCATTACTCAGCACGGGTCAACGCTAATGTGTCACTCACCCAGTTGCACCATGTGTGTGTGTGTGTGTGTGTGGGGGGGGGGGGTTGGATTTACACTGCAAGGCCAAGTGCCCTATTTCATTTCAATGCTTCTATCCATTTTTGTTTTGTACTGGCCATTTGCATGTCTATTCCAAGTGACAAATATCCCAACACCAGGAAGTAAACAATAATACAAGAAGTGATACTCATGCAGTAATCCACCGCTGCAACAGACAAAATCCTCGAAGTAGGGAACCCAAATTATTTGATTTTACAACCGGGAAGGGCACAGAGAGGTGGACTGCACACTTCCTAATCAGATGAACAAAATGCTATTTTAAGTATGGGCAAAATACGTGCCTTCAAGCAGAAGTTCACAAAATACCAGTTTACCTGAATTTCATGTTCAGGCTAATTTAACGAAAAATAACGCCAGTCTGTTTGGTTGAAATTTTTTTTCAATATCAGTGCCTCAACAGCCATGAACCTCACCGCATATGACTGAGAGATATTTGACACGTATCAGATTTTTAGGTCTGATTCTGATGCGTAGCTTAACGAATCTTTGCCAGTGTTTTTTTTTTTAATCTTTTCATACTGACGTATATTGGTGGGGGG